TTTTGGTTGCCGACCCCTGCCCTACACTGTCGGTGATGGAGGTTGTTCGGTATTACTTCAGTACGGCATAGGGGCAAGACCGGTTCTGATGTCGCTCATTGGGAATCGAACCCAGGTGGCAAGGTTCCATGGCACAATACGCTCATAAAGCGTCAACGCTCTCCCCGTCTAATTTTAACACAGGAATAATTAATGACTAATTTTAGGGCACACAAGAGTGAAGCGTTGACTTATTGGCGCATTGAATGGTGGGTATGTATCGCCCCCTTGTGGAATGAATTATTTATGCAGATCACAGGCCACGACGCATAACCAACTGCCAGTTACCTGTAACTACAATATCGACATTATTGTACATACAGTTTATTAATATTGTATGCGGAGTCATAATAATGTCAGGTTGTGACATGTATCGTGATATTGCTTTTGATTCATCTGATTTTCTGCTTATTTTGTAACCCATTTTTTCCACTGGCCTCAAATTAAAGTGTGAATTACCATGCGTGTGTCTAATATCATCATCCCGAGCCATAATCCACTGCTGCATGAAGTCCTCCGCCAGCATTCGCCATCTTATGGTTCTGCGATGTGAAAATCCACTCCGCACCTGTCATCATCATCACAATCCATGGGCAGATAACCCCATAGGTGTCCTGTGCAAATGTCGTCATTTGTTTCCACTTTCCTCTGTCTTGTGCCACTGGACTCAAGTTGTGCCACATCTTTTTTGTCATTAATCTCTCATGTCGTCGTCAAGCCGTTCTCTGTCAATGATCATCGACAATCAAATTGAACCGTTCTCCATAATTTACTTTCCATTACATTGTCTTTACAGTTCGATAATAGGCCTGTGGAGATGTTAAATGAGCTATACTTGTTTTCAGTAATGCAGAGTCCTTTTTTCCCTCATTTTAAAAAGGGGTCACTCAACCTGCACGAATCAGGCATGCTAATGGCCTCCATCCTGAGCTTACGAGTGCTTCATCATCATCATTACTGCTTAAAGGTGTCACTGATTAATGCCCGTGACATTAATAATTGGTCCAATGCTATTCGTCCGTGTTGCACCCAACGTTTGCGTTCGCTTTATTCGCAGATTTCACATATTGTCCTCCACATTCCTCACTCCCCAAAGCCTCATTTATCGTGCAAAATGGACAGACTGACGTGAAGTGATCACGTGACCCAGTGCCTTCAGTTCACTTAGGAAGTGGGTAAATGTGACACATTTTGTAGTTTGTAAGTTAATTTATGGAAGCAAGATTATATTTTTCACTCGATGCTATAGAATGGTTCAAGACAATCAACAAAAATAACTACTTGGAGCGTTGCCTATTGGTTGGCCAGTGTAGTAATTATTTTAATGACGTTACTCGATTTGTTATAAATATGAATAATCATACAAACCAGTGCGTGTGTGCCTCGTGTTTCCTGTGCACCAGTAAAACATGCACAGATGCAAGGCAAGGCATGGGTTAATGTCGTGTGTCACGTGGAAATAGCTGAGCATCATTACACTGCGGTGATTTCACATCACAGAAAAAGAAGCTGATGTCAATGCTCATTCATCATTGCCTGCATTCATCTTCTGGACACCAGGGGCAATTTTGTGAAACGACAGGGAGAATGAAACACGGTGCTGTGGACACTTTTTTTAAAAAAAAACCCTATTCAAGTACTCAGTTTAAAGTTATTTTTAATTCACAATCATTCGTTTTTCTTGTTCGTCAAGCAAAGTAAAGATTAAATTAAAGAATGCGACATGCAATCATTTACAATGTATCTTTCTTTAAGTAATAAAAACATGTTTTTTACAGCTCTGAGAAACAATCTCGAGGGGAATTTTTTTTAACAATGTATGATATAAATAGTTTTACAACATTCGGTGGCGTTTTCACTTACGATAAAGAAATGTGTACAATAATGTAAAAATAGTGCGATCCTTAAAGTAAGATTACAGTTCGGGTTCATTTGAGTATTGTCCATTACCAGCGTCTCGTGTGGCTAATAGTAATTTTTTCAAATAAATTACGTTATTTACAAGCGAGTGCGTCATTTAGCAAAGCGTATATGTACATTCTTGAAATACGACTTCACTGTAGAGCATGTGGCAAGCATTGAATCTACTGAGATACAACATAAACAGCCTGCTGTGTTGTGCAACTGTCGAGAATACAATCTGCTTAATGTCTCAGCTCAGGATAATACCCTCTGCTGGACAGACGTGATAATTTAAACTCCACACGTCTCACTTTACGCTATCCTGACCGAGTTGTCTCGAAAGCAAATGCGGTAGCCTCGTCTCTCTCGGCTATTTTGCCCAATCGTCAAACGATCTTTTGATTTAAAAAAAAAACACTCAACACATTCAACAATTCAAGTACATAATGGGATACATTTCACGCAATGGCCTTTTTCTTGATCGCGCAAAGAGCACGTATGTTGAGAGGTCGATTCGTCTTTTTTTATCTTTTCAGTGCACTGAAAGTGTTGTTAGGCTTTTGTTTCATACTCTTTGGGTTTTTTTCGGTAAAGTCACGTACAAGGGAAATAATACTGGTAGGAACCTCCTGGTTACACCAGCCCACAGGGGATTATTGTGTCCGTTCGTCCGTCGTGAAGGGAGGGGCTGGGTGGGGAGGGAGGGGCTGGGTGGGGAGGGGAGGGTGGGGTGGGGCTGGGTGGGGAGGGGAGGGTGGGGATGGGCTGGGTGGGGAGGGAGGGAGGGTGAGGAGGGGCTGGGTGGGGAGGTAAAAAATAAAATAAACTAAATCACGACGTTTCGGGCGCAACGCAAGTATCCTTCTTCAGGTGGGGACAACTTAGCGAAAGCGCTCCGCTTAAGCGAAACGATTTCTGCACTCCACTATGAACCCAGCGACCTGAGTTGGATTTCTGGCCAATGCCAACGTAAGTGATTAGTGCTATATGAACCGGTCCTGGGGATTTCTCCTTTAACCAACACTTACCAGTGTGGCCACGTATGGTCAAACAACTTCCATGAACCTGCCAGGAGTGGATAGACAGAGAGGCTGTACATGCACATGGAAATACATAATGACATTCAATCCTAATTTATCATCTCATCACTTTTTTTTCATTGTACATGTATTTAAATGTATTGCTGGATATAGACCTACCCAAACAGTTGTTCGTCATGGTGGTTGTTGGACCATACTTCACCACGCTGGTAATTGCTGATTGGTGATAGGACTCAGTACCAGTGTAAGATATCACTCGTCACTGATGTTAGTTTTTTACATCCTCATTTCAAAATATAAAATAATGCTTCATTTGAAACTGTGTTTTGCATTGCATTTTGGATTTTCCCCCAGTATATTACGTTTTATTGAGTTTTAGCTAAACCAAAAATCTACTTATTTTTTCTTTTGGCACTAGAACCTTTTTGCTGTTCGTGTACAATGTATTTGCCCTCGTCTCCGTTGAACAACACAACATTTTATTTAGCAAATACAAAGTCCCTAAGCCAAGCGGTTACTACCGGTCCTGCTGTGTTGAGGGTGAGTCAGCCTCCGCTGCGTTTGTGGATTGAGCAGCCATCTAGGATGTGCTGCATGTTTTTCTCCACTTCACAGGCACATAGCAGGGCTTGCTCTTATGCCCCATCGGTGGAGGTTGGCGAGGCATGGGCCGTGACCGGTCCTGAACCTGTTGAGGGTGGACCACTTCTTCCTGGGGGGGGGGGGGGGGGGGGGATAAAACCAGGGGTCTGCTGTGTGGGTGTAGTAACGAGGCTCTTATTTGGATCAGCGTTCACGCCGCACACCCGTCAGTACCCAGGTCCGCCTGGGAAAACGAATGCTCCTACAAACAGACTACATTCGAAGAGAAGCTTCGTGAGAAGAGCCTCAAAGATTCCTAGTCAAAGACCCAAAGCTGAAAAGAAACAAAAGAGACTACTGGTCACAGTGGACACCAAGCTGGCCTGAAAAGCAAAAGTGATTGACAAGTCGAATTATTATTAAACGCTTGCTGCATGTTGCCATCCTTCTCCATGGCGTCTCGTGTACAGCACACACCTCCCCACAATAATAAATAAATAAAGCTCTTTGGGAATAACTTCATGACATCCACTGCAAAGGTTTATGTTCACAAAGTTAAAGGCTTCTCAACAGAAAAAAAGGAAACTGCCAACAATGCTGGCGTTCGCGACGGAAGCCGAGCGAAAGCAAACAGGGGAAAAGAAGGCTCGCAACCCATCCAACATTTCTTGGCTCCGGCCCAGCAGAACGTCTCGTAACTCAATATTCTGGCTCAGTTACCGATGGATGGAGCTGGGGGCCCGAAGACTGTGAGATTAGCGGAGCCGGTCAGTCGCCTTCTGTGCGCCCGAGACTGGCTGTCTGGGGCGCGCAGCTGTTAAATATAACACGGTCAAATTCCGATCGTAATAACTGGAAACAAATCTCATTATGTAGTTCGGGTTGGCACGTCGCCCCCTAAACGGCTTGGCTATTGTTCAGGTGTGAGTTTGCGTGATACGCTCAGCTAAGTGCATCGGTTATAAATTGAAAGGCAAAATATATCTTTGTCAGATGTATAAGGGGAATTTTTTTTAAAGATGGAGTACATTAACGTTTTATGAATTCAATTCCTCTATAACATTTTTTTTTAGGGTTTTATTCCTTCATGCAGTGATAGTTATAAAGTTTAAGTTGCACAACCATCAGGGATGCAAGTATGTGTGTGTGTTCATTTACTTTTAACAAATCTTATTGCTTGACAGTAGTTTTGTTTATCTAAATTTTTGCAGATAATGCAGAGGATCATCGTGATATCCTTCATAAATATGGAAACTAACCGGGCAAATATGTACGGTAGTTTTAACAGTTCTGCAATGTGTGTAGAGTAGATTGCAGATAATGTAATTTACAAATATAAGGCAAATACCTGAATCAATTTAATGAGAACCAAACAACAGGACACAAACGTCAAAAAAACATGATATTGCATATAGAAACTTTATTGTTTACCATATATTCATGACTTGTTGTAATAAAATTAAATATTAAAAAAAACTGATCAGGAAGCCTGCTTCATGATGTTTGCATGTCCGTCAAACACACACATGGCAGATTACATGCAGTTCTAATCGCGTGGTTGATAACCCCAACATACGAAGGCCCGGTAGAAATGTACAGATTAAACTTTTGTCAAAACAAATGAAGGCAAAGACTGAGCACTGGGTTTGTTTTGCATTTAAAAAATATCCGATGTGGGAGCCGTAGCAATTGTCAGAAGACACGTGAGCGTCGTTCTCCAAAGTAGTTTCAGGTGGACATCCGATACGTTATACCGAACAACACTGCCGCTTTCAGCGCCACATGCTGGGAGCTTGCACACCTATCAACCCATGCGGTTTACCCGCGTTCGTGTACAGGGAAATGTAGTTTTCAGGTCCATACGGCATACAGCCGTTTCAATACGGGCAAAAAAATATACTTGTTTGTGTTTCTCCCTTGTGATGGGAGCTTGTCGGATGAACGTTGAGATTTATAAGGGCACGGGGTGACCAATACGGTCTGAATTGGTCTATAATAAGATCGGCTCTGATAAGGGGTTGACAGGTATGAGCGTCAGTTCTTGAAGGCCCCAGAATGTGGTGCGAAACGTCGGACAGCATGTCGAACAGCACGTGGTACTTCGGGGAGCTAGACAGCACAAACGCTAAACACCTCCACAGTAGAGTACCGTAATTTTAAAGTTGAACCGTGCCTTTGAACATGTCTAATGGGAATAACGATTGCAATGCACATTAATGAGTAACATACAATGACAATGTTGAACTGATATGATTACTTCAAATATATTTTTCAGAACAAAAGTCATGCACTACGTGAAAACGTACACCACATTTAAGATGAGTCCATAATCACTCCAAAAACGGATTTACATATGTTTAGGGGACTCAATGTAACCACAGTCTAAGCGTACCCATATAAAAGCCCGCGGCATTCTCTCTATGCCTACAGTAGCCACTGCAAATAACAATTTTATTTGATGCACGGTGCGGCCCCCGTATAGTGTACAGCCTCTGGTGTCTTGCATGAGCGGCACTTACAAACTGGACGTTTGGGGCGGTGTTTCGAACGTGTGATGGATACACAGATCCTCCGTCAGTCATTATATCGGTTATTATGCACCTGTTCTTAAAGCTAATATTTTCATGGTTGGTAAATGGTTCTGGTAGTGAACAGAGCACATCGTGTGTGTTCTGGTATATATATATAGATATATTTTTGCAGTGGTCGGCCCGCTGACACTAACATGTAACGAGAGACTGCGCTTTACAATCAACCTTGACGAAAATTGCGCAATTTGTTACGTTTTAAAAACGTGCTATGGGTGGTCATGTCGGGCGCACTGCTTCACCCGAGCAGGTAGGGTTTGAGATGGACACGAAGTTGCTCGAGACAAAGAATTGACTGCATTGTAATGCAATGTACGTGCCAAAGAGGTTCCTCCACTCTTGTGGTGTGTTACGCTATTATATACATTTAAATCGTGTTGCCAAGTTGTGGCATTAGAGGAGGCATTACACTCAATACTGTAGAACCATTTACTTTGTAATTATGCATGTTAAAACTTATTTCGCACCGTACGTAGCCAACCAACGCTAATCGGAGATGCGGGGGAAGGACAATGACAAAAAGCAGTTCTTAAGAAATTAGTTTTTCAATTAGTTAACTTCGACCACCTCTTATATTTACGAGCTAAAACAGTGCATTTATGCGTCGATTTAAAAATTTCAGACGTCCGCTGGTTGACGGATGTGCGAAACCTGATTTAGCGACCAAGATCTCGAGATAAAAGTAAACCACCGCGTTGTTGATGTGTGAATGCGAGAGGCTGCATCGCGTTCAGATGAATTCATGCAAGCAGGGCCATTTCCGCTGACATCCCACCTCAGAATGCAGTTCAAGTCAACCACATTACATTCCTATACAAAGGGGTTTTTATACAACGAGCACCAAGCACATATAGTTTATTTCACATTACTCACATATTAAGCTTAAAAGTAATTTGAAAAGACAAGGCACCCCCAGGGTTACTGCATGCCTCACATCTTACTTGATGAGATGTATTTTCAAGAGGTGTGAAACAGTGTGTGCTAACTGCCCATTGTCTTCAAGAGGCATTTGCACCGTTATCACAAGCCCCTCTTCCACATCATCAGATGTAATCGTTCACGAACACTACTCTAATAAAATTATTTAATTTAGATTTTAGCTAGGATCAAGTGCCAGCCTTGATCAAATACTCATTTACTATACAATACTTTCTAAGCTATGTGCATGTCAAACCCATGAACGTAGTTATATTTTCTGGGCACTATATTACAAGAGAAACCAGCTATTGTTCGAAATTGTCTGTGTAGAACATTTTATGAACGGTATTACATATACATTATGATACTAAAATGGCAAGATAGGCGTTTTGTACAATTATTTATTCAAATGTTGTTGTTATTATTATGGTTCTATATATGTGTTTATTAAATGTTTAAACTTTTTTTCAAATGGAAATGCAACGTAGCATTCTTATGATTTACCCTCACAAAATGGTAATTTGTAAACGTTGTCCATTCAATGTTTTAACCATAACACTACGGTAGGTAAATCTTGACTTAAAGCTTACGTGACTGCAGGAATTCATATTCTGTGGGTCTTTCGGTAAAGTCACGTAGATTGGTTCAAAGAAAAAAACTACGACGTTTCGACCGCAACACAAGTGTTTGTCATCAGGAAGAACGCTTGTGTTGCGATCGAAACGTCGTAGTTTTTTGTTATTTTCTTTGAGCCTATCTACGTGACTTCACCGAAAGACCCAAATTATACGGTATGTCTTGAGTACGTATTTCCTGTTATGAGTTAATCAGTAGTCCTTGGCCACTAATTTCATAGATCATTAACACTCCAGAAATATCTATGCCTTTGACCTCTCAGTGTCATGGCGGGCACCGCAGTGCTTACAAAATAAATTAAATGTAATTTATTTTAATCCTAAAGTGGGACACTGCATTCGCATAGGAGAGACTGAGTATTTGACTTAGGGGTGAACACTTTCAACGAACCAGCTCATTTGCCATGTTTTCCTGGCATGTTTTCCTGGCAAATACATTGTTGGGCACACGATGTCAATTTTGTTGACCACACTGACACTGCTCCCATACCCTTACAGCTACGGTACTTGTACGTGCGTTGATATTTTTGTTGTTGTTGTTGTTCTGCGCGAGTCTGTCGACGGCGCGTTGCACTAGCCCCTATTCCGGGACAAGCGACCACGCGACGCCGGGGGGCTTGGAAAGGCGCCAGCGTTAGGAGGCATCCGGGTGACGAGCGAGGCAAGGATGCGAAGGAAGAGTGAGAGGCCCTGCTGGGCACGGCCGTTCCTCTCGCTCGGGTCGACCCCCGCGGGCCGGGCAGGAGGGGGCGGCTGCTCCTGGCTCTGCCGTCTTCTCCGTTTGATTCTCACTATGAATCTGGCACCGCGGAGGATGCGACAATGCAACGGCGATTAGTTTGTTGTTTTTGTACCAGACGGTTGTATGCATTATAATTTGAGGAGAAGAAGAAAAAAAATGGACGTTCAGAGTTTGAGATAGCAAAAAAAAAAATGGACGTTCAGAGTTTGAGATAGCAAAAAAAAAATGGACGTTCAGACTTTGAGATAGCAAAAAAAAAATGGACGTTCAGACTTTGAGATAGCAAAAAAAAAATGGACGTTCAGAGTTTGAGATAGCAAAAAAAAAAATGGACGTTCAGAGTTTGAGATAGCAAAAAAAAAATGGACGTTCAGACTTTGAGATAGCAAAAAAAAAAATGGACGCTGCTATGTAAGAATATTTTAATGGATAATGGGTGATACGAGATGTTGGGGTAAATGTGCCGCCCTAAAATTACTTGCTCATTTACGGTGGTGGCTAGAGGACGCTCGACAGGGCCACACGAAAGGGTAGTTTAGCCTCCCTGTCGATGTCTTGGAAGAGGCTGTCTCACCCACACTTTCACTCACCACATTCGACGTGCCGATCGACTCAAATGTGCTGTACCCATCTTGATTTGAAGCTTTCGTGACTGCAGGAATCCATATTCTTTGGTTCTTTCGGTAAAGTCACGACTTTACCGAAAGAACCAAGGAGTATGTGCTGTACCTATTTATACTGCTGGGTGGACAGAGGCGGGGAGGATGTAAGAAACTTGACCGTCGTTATTGGAGTTGTGAGATTGTATTGTCTGTAACTTCAATTGTGCAATTATTCTATGCGACAGTAATATTTTTGTATCCATATAGTGGAAAAAACAGCATTACGTCATGCGTTAACTTTATTATTAAATGGAACTACGGTCTGTGAGTGACACTTAAATGCACGCTGCAATGTCTTGTTAAAACAATACAGTATGTAGTAATGCTAATATATATAAAGAACAACGATAGGTACACAGCAACATTACTGGTAAATCTTTTAAAGTGAATACACAGAAATGTGGCCAAAGCTATATTTTAAAAAACGATTGCGGTACTGTATGCGAGGTGGAACTGCAGAGTAGTGGTTAGCCCATGACGGTGTGAATCGGGAGACCTGTGTAGGCTGTGTTTGACTCCCGGCCGCAGGTAACAACATCAAATGGTCATTTTCTGAACCAGTCCCGGGCCCTTCACTTTCACCATTCCAAATTTACCAGCATGGTGAAGCATGGCCAAAGACTCTCCGTGAGTGACAGACACAATGCGGGGAGATCTTCATCCAGCCTTGATTTCACAAAGGGCTGTAACATACTCTTTGTTTTTTTCGGTAAAGTCACGTCGGTAAAAATTTTAAGTAAATTAAATCCCCACCTGAAGAAGGACGCTTGTGTTGCGCCCGAAACGTCGTGATTTAATTTATTTTAATTCTTTACCTACGTGACTTTACCGAAAAAACCCAAGAGTATGAATCCTTGCAGTCACGAAAACTTCAAATCTAGAATAAAGGGCTGTAAATTATTATTTTCATATTTTTCTTTCTGGATATTGGACTATTTAATTATAGAATCAAAACTTTCTGAGAATTAACGATACGTTTTTTTAAAGCCTCTGTATTCAGTTTACAATCTGTTGTGGTGTATATATCTTCCATCTATCGATATTCAAGGAAAACTAAGTGAATAGGAGACTACCTTTTTATTTTCAACAGTCACTTAGATTCGGCCATTCCACAGATGCTGTGTGTGTCGTGTTCCAGAATTGTTGGTTCATCAAATCAGATCAGTTGTATTTATTGCCGTGTGTTATTAGCCTCCTGGTTTAAGCCTTGCAAATACAGCGAAAATATGCCGAATGACTACGTATCCAGAACTTCAACCATCGCTGCCCATGCAGATCACGGAAACAACGGGAACGAAGTTCTCTATTTGTCTATGAAGACGTTCAAGTTAAATTATATTGAACTGAGGTGAAGTGATTAGTGATCCTCGGCCACGGCTAACATCAGTGGCGAGTTAATATCTGAAAGGGGCTTGGAGCCCCTCCTCTTCACCAACCAGAATTGACCAGTGTGGTGAAGTATGGTCAAACAATAACGCGATGTGTGGGAGGCCTTAATCCAGAAGCGGATTGACAAAAGGGGTAATTACATATTACATCAATGACTTGCCCAACGTCTTTATTACTGCTGACTGTGAGCCCGTATGTTGGAAGTATATCGAGAAATGCACTTCCAAAGATGTGTTTGTGTCTGTGTGTGATGACAGCACCTTTTTTTCTTCATCTTGTTTTTCTCTATTTCCATATTTGGAGGCGCTCTTTCTTTAAGTTTCTGCATAATCACGTGCTCTTCGTTGGTTAAGTTCTTGCATATTCTGAAACCAAGTGAAACGCAAAAGAAATTAACATCCTACCAATATCATTTCTGCGCATATATGTTTCATATTTTTACGTTGTTAACTACATTTTCATAAACATGGCCGCATGCACGTGTAAATTTGAGGTTTATATAATCAATTATTTACAGAATAATATCTCATTGCAATATCATTTCTGGAATGCATTGATGATGCAAGTTTTGGCACTGATATTGAATAGTATGTTCCCTAAATGCAGCGTATTAGTTTACTTAAAACATTCTTGAGTATTCTTATATGTACACTACTTATAGTGAGACATTCTGAGATGTTGAACATTTTCTGTTTTATCGCAAATGTTTTATGAATTTGACTACGCAGAGTATGTATCCATACTGATTCATTTGCTGTTTCAAAATAATGTTCCCTAAAGTTAAGTTTTTTACACATTGAAGTACAGGAAAAAAAATTGATTGAAATAAGTGGCTTATTCTTTAAACACAATTAATACATCGTAATTGCGTATTGTATGATGGCGCTTGCCTCCAATGATGAGTTATGTGTGTTTGCTTCATAAATCATACTGATTCCAGAGCCCTGGGCTGATTTATCGCACTAAATTCCATGCACGTTCTCCAGTCGACTATTTATGCGTTAACCAAAGATTCCCGAAAAATGCCATCATTGCACATTTTCAATAGCCATCATCCCATTCATCGCTACCATCATCCTGAAATTACTGCAGATCGTAGTCATCTTTTTCGTACATAGCAGTCCTCATAAGTAATAACGCTCTGGAGTTCCTTCTTAAATGTAAGTTCTTATGTCCAGAGGAAACATTGAGGAAGTGAACCCTGTTGCTAGATTTGAAGTTTTCGTGACTGCAATGATTCATACTCTTTGTTTTTTTCGGTAAAGTCACATAGGTGAAAACAAAAAAAAATATTTAATTTAATCTTTTTCATTTATTTATTTTATAAAATTTTTACCTAAGTGACTTTACCGATAAAAGCATAGAGTATGAAGTGAACCCTGTTACTCGATTTTGTGTGATGTGCTTTAATCCCTTGTACGTAATCTACAAAATACTCTACATCATTGTCTTGTGCTAATGATATCAATTGCCGCTATCTTAGTTTACAAACCTGTCTTTATAAAATACATGTGCCCGTGACCAGTCTTTCAATGCTTCACGAAGCGTAAACAAGACTTTATTTAACAATAACCATTAAAACTTGCCATGCGCACGGTATTCGCTCACTCTCAAAAGAGAGGGAACAAGGTTTTTACAGGTTTTTTCATGGTCGATAAAGTCAAGTAAGTCCTTTTTTTGCGAGCAGGTAAAAGCCCATTGAGACTAATTGACACTTGCCCAGTAACAGCAATGGGGCGCGAAACTGGCAGTAGGAATTTACTTGATATACATGTGGATTAATCAATAGATAACAAATCTTGTGATGTGTGTGAGAATGTCTTTTTATTCACATGTCGTATGGCTTAATGTGACCTTTGATGTTACAAGTGACCGTTGCATTCACCACAAGGATAACAAGTCAGATTTTTTAACATAAGTCCGACCCTGAATTTCGAAAATCCCTGTCATGTTTATTAAACAACATAAGTTAGAACTAAAAATCCAATAGTAAGTACGTGTTGTATTACATATTGATGCCTTTGTCAAAAACAATAGCAAGAATCATGTTTAAATTAATCCAATTGCTCGACAATTTTATTTCAATGACACCACTGGATACATCGCTTGATGAATGTGATGTGAGAGTTGTTTTATTATGATCAATAACATTTACTTAACATAACACAGCAAAGTAAAATAATCTGTCTACACATTTACTGCAGTGTGCATGGGTTTAATTAACCGTGTGCAGGTTATTAAAACGTCTTTAAAGCTCTTTTAACATCGCTACTTTACTGTGCAAGTATTCCAGGATGAGATACAACACTTGGTTTTTCGTGTTAAAAAAGCACTTAAATGATAAAAATATATTTTACTTCCCCTAAACGTACTCGTGAAATAATGTGAACGTTTTACTTTCATCTCTAAAACACAATCAAGAAAAAACATGATCACGCAACATCGATATGAAGCTTTACACGACTCTTCTAAGTACTTGTAATAACACAATTTGCCAACCCGATGAGGTAATGCACCATTCAAAGCGTGTTACCGATTGTGAATTCACTAAATATCTTCATTTTAGATTTCCCAACAAAATTTACAATTTTCATATTAAATTATTCTGACTTTTTGGACATGCGACGGGACAACAGAACATTGATTTCCAGCTTGAACCGTACATTTCTCACCAACAGTTAAATTGGCAAAAGTACAAAGATTAAATATTCCAAACATTCATCCACATCTCTGGAGAGGACACACGCATATGACAGGCGACGTTTCTGGCAAAGGGCCTTCTGCATAGCAGAGATATGGAGAGGCCAGAAATATTGAGTAAATACTATGCACCATGAGGCACTGATATATTGTTTTTTCTTACGTCGGATATTTGACATTCGCTTAAAATAAGATACCATTCATCAAAAAAGATACCATTCGTTTCGTTACAGTCTACATCATGTTACCGTACTAGGATCATGTCAATATCAAAGTGCAATTGAGTTACAGCTGCTTGATCTCACAAATGGTTTTCCATTGCACACTGCGTAACAAAAACCCGTGTATGGCAGTTATGCGAGGGTGCGAGTTTAAACGGGCACGACAAATATTGACAAAAGATCAAAAATGCTCACCTCTTTTTAACTTTCACCCTCCACTTCATGCTACCCATTCTTGCGTGGAGGTGAACTTGGTTGTGGTGACGCTGACTGACGGATGCTTCCTCTACGCTTAAGTTATATATATATTTTTTTCGGAATCTCACGACTGAGCAAGGTGCGTGGGAGGTGGAGGTATTAGGTCGAGCGGCCACACCGCCGAGCTCGGGAGAAAGCGAACTATGATAAGTGAACGCGCCGGTAAACGCGGGCAGCTCGCCACGTGCACAGGCTGGCAGGGAGCGTGCGGCACACGTGCCTGGGAGGAGGACGGCGTTCACACTGGAGGCTGCAGGGGACTTGCTTGTGAGTTTTGTCTGCATGGATAAGGGGGGGCTGGCTGTGAGCGCCGTGCCAGCTGCAATTCCACACCGACCTGACCCACCCCATAGAAAAACCACAACACCACCCACCCACGTACCCACCCACCCATCACATCCACCGCACCCGCCCTCCCCTCTCAAATCGCCTTCAGCCCGCCCCCTCCGCTCGCTAAAGCCATCCCAAGCTCTCCGCTCTATGCTAATTGCTCAATCAGCTGGTCCCTTACATCACCCGCTCAGAATTACGGGGTGATGTCACCACCTGAATCTAGGAGGGGGCTTGGGACATGATGGTGCGCTGGTGTTAGGTAATGCTTGGTCAGAGAAAGCTTCCCGCGACGTTTCACTATCCAGTATTTGATACGCCACACCAGCCATAATTATACACCACTTCGCAATTCCAGCCACTGACTGAAACTCTTTAATTAACGGGTATTTATTAACACGGTGTTAATTAAAATAATGCATGTAAATTAATGTTAAAGGCTGTAAAGTTCACAGTGCATTTAACTTAATAAAGTCAGTGTCTCGATACTCAAATGGAAAGGGTCTTCATTGGTGCTTCAGAGATAGTAGTGGAAATTCCACATTCCTATGGTGGGTGCCATGATATTCGTAAGACACTCACTGTGGATGCCCACCATGTGGTAAAGCGTTACCCGTTGGTAGGCATTTCAATCAGTGCCAGATTAAGCTAGTGCGGGGCCTATAGCATATGTTATAAAGGGGCCCTAAATAAAATAAAACACATATATATTAAAACGCAATTTTTTTAACTTGCATAGTAAAGTAATTGTATTTTTTCATTTGCTATACAGCAAGATAATACGACAAATCGCTCACGTTAAACACCCAGTCGCTCATAAAAGTTGAAGGCGGTATAGTACTATAGTAATAGAGCAAGTGCAGAATCACTGAACCGGAATTGATAGCTTGAAAGCATTTAGCGCGGGGCCCTTAAAAGTGCGGGGCCCATAGCTACATATGTAGCTACTTTTGTTACGAGGATAATTCGGCACTGCATTTCATCAGTCAACAGGGATCTTGTGCCGAGTTGCCAATGACCATAATTTGAACTCACGATTTGACTACTGATAAATCTACTCTTCTATCAACTCAGTTATATCCCAGCCGTGATTATAATGTATATATTGATTACCTCACTGAAGGATCATGGTAGAAAAACAAATGATACAACTCTTCATGAATGCATCAAGGAGCCCAGGAGAAACGTGAAGCTGCTATAAAAAGTGTCATGTGATGCATTATGTCTGCACGGTGGTATTCGTACTGCATTTAACACAGAGGATAAACTACCACGTCCTTCGCTTTCTGTCAAGTATCACATCGCTCCATTTTTTGCAGGTGCCGTAAGAAGTAAATATACATAGTAACAGAGCCCCTTTAACAGCCATATTCAGCACCAACTGTAGTTGGGTGAGTCCTATGTGTTTATGCGTGTCCTGTCTGCTTGCAATTGTAACACGTCTTCAAAAACGGATAGAATAAATATTTAAATGTTTGGCTTTTTGTAAGGCTAAACAAACTATTTTTAAAAAATCGTTGTTTCCGTCTGTTTTAAAGCCACACAAGACTACCAGAAATGATATATCGTACAAATGATCATCGTCCATGATCTATCCACTGCAAGATGAAGGCCCCTCACTAAGCCGTCGCCATCACCCAGTCTGGTGATGCAACAATCCACTCTGCTCCTGCAGGCGAGCTGACCGTATGTACCTTTGACAATCATTGAGGGCAGACCGGCATCAGTGTGATGATATCAAGACGCTATTCAGAAGAGGTTGGAGTGCTTTTGGAAAGGCGAAGCTGACAATGAAAATGTATCTTAAGAAGAACGGTTACTATTGCAGGAGTGTATACTAGCTGTTATAACATATGGATGGAAATATGGATACTGGCAAAAAAAAATGGAACAAATGCTTAAAAATCATCAAAGAAGCATGGAAAGTTGCATGCTTGGAATTTCACTGAGAGATAGACAAAGGAACACGTGGCTTAGAGGGCATAAGCAGGTTAAATCATATTGAGTGTAAGAAAAACGTAAATGGGCTTGCAAATTAGAGACATCGTATTTTGAATGTACAAACGAAAGTGCGGAATTTATCTTCCAAACAATAACTGCGAGTTGCAAACAGCATTGAGAATAATTCCACGCCGCGCATACAAAAACGTATAAAGAAGGTGCTCTTGTTCAAAAATCGGATGGGTATATGATTTAGTTCAGTACCTGACTTCGCATTCCATCATCTAAAATGTGTGTGTAGTCTCTTTGCAATCCTCAGCAGTGTATATATATAAGCAGCTGGAAGTGAACGTATTTTAAAGGTCTTGCGTGAGCTGCGTTTTAATTTGTACTTATCATCGACCTCATTTTATTCCCACTACCGCGAGCCTGCTTGACAGTGAACATCACGAATCAAACAAGACTTTAAATGCATTCATTAAATCAAAGTGTGTAAATTCCACGGGGCAACGTGTATAATGTGTAGACTATTATTAAGGCATTACTCGAACGAGTTGTTGCATAACCTACGAACGTATGGAATTGTGATTAACTTTCTTCGGAGATGAAAGAGGATATGTGGTACCTTAGACATCGCCGGCTTAGAAACAAGAGGGCTGTAAACAGCTATCGTACATTTGTTCAATATCAAAGTCAATATTTGCACAATGCAATATTAAGAGAGTAGCGGATCGGTAGGGTCTGGAAGCACGGATTGAGGCTCACCTTTTTAAACCAAGTCAAGCATTAAAGTGAACATTAATGTAAATACTATATGCATCTTTTATGATTATGGACTTTTACAAAGTAAACACGTCCTGACTGTTTTGAATGCTGGTAAGATTTTTAGTGTTTATTCCAGAGTCAAAGGGTAATCCAGTGTCTGTGCGAAAAAAATACACGACAGCGAAAAAAACAGTCCAAGGGTACAACCACCTATTCCATCATCATCGTCATCTTCCGTTGTCTATCCACTGATGGATGTAGGCCTTTCCCATGCAGTCAATATCCCTTGTGGACCTGTCCATAAAGTCATCTCAATTGCGTCTTCTTCGTGGTTGTAGTCATCTCAGGTTCATTCTCTGCTTTGGATGTCATTCCATCACCGGCCTCGTCCGTCGGTCGTCATCCCTTTCTCAAGTGACGTGCGCTGCCTCAGCATACTTACTTTACTTAATACAGGAGTCAAAACGTGATGTCTCTGGTTTTGGATGTATTCCCTGATTTTATTAACGCCACGAAATATGACGATACGAAGAGGCAAACAAGAACGCGGTCGAGTGCTTTCGGAAAACTGAGTTATGACGACAATGAAAAGCAGTTATACTGTGCCACTGTGTCCGAAGGAGACAGTTATACTGTGCCACTGTGTCCGAAGGGAAAAAAACATTTTCAATAAATGGATATTGACAGCTGTGGCACGGATCAGACATGTGGACGAGTTAAAATGCATTATCAACAACAACAACAACAAATAATAATATATAAACACCCGCAGTATTGAGGGTGTCACACAAAAACTGCAAACAAATTGTCACAAATGTTGTCTGAAATGACCCATATCCTCGGTATCCGGATTTGACTTTTGTTGCTTACGTTAATTCTTCCATTGTTTTTAACACGAACGCTTGACACGTGCACATTCCAGAGGGGTGTCATCCTTTACAGAAAAACTCCCAACGTCAGTAATCCGCTGTCATTTCCTACGTCGGCAATAAGTAATTTTTTTATCCAGCAGGATATCATTCCAGGGGCAGCAGTCTTTTCCTTTAAATAAAATCGTGCATTACACGCAGGAGCAAGACGACCCCACCCCACCACATCTCCTGTTACGGCGCGTGGCACTTGCTAGATGGTCGCCTGGTGCGCTTTGGGGGGGGGGGGGGTTCTTCACATTCTTCCGAACTTCCAATAAGGCGTAAACCTCAGGCATCCAGGCAAACATTGCACTGATGATTGCGCAACAGCAGGCATGAGTTGCAGTATTGCTACGTGATTTTTTTTGATCGTCTCTACTCTACACACCAACCTGTAACGTATTGACAAATGTACCGCGGCAAAGGATGGATAAAGGCTTAAGAGTTGTATAAATATTCTGTTTAATAGTTATGTGGTGGCGCAGTGGATATTGCACTGCGGCATTTAAAAAAAAAGAACAGCGACCTGAGTTTGATTCCCGGCCATGACTTTCATCAGTAGTGAGTGATATCCAGGGCCTACGAAAACAATGTTTTGCCATGTTTTTTTTGTTTCTATGTATGATAATAATTTTTTTAACTAAGATATCTTCTTGAATAAATATATTTACAGAGCAAGGATAGGCACAGTGCATATACAAATAGGCAGAATTCATGTCAACGTCGTGATAATTATTTTATTATTTTATTATTATTATTTTATTATTTCCCTTCTACGTGACTTTACCGAAAGAACCAAGAAGATCATGTCAATGGGTTTCTTTTTCATAATGTGAGAGAAATTAACACCGGAGATGAACTTTTCCAGGTTGTTTTTCATCGCAAAATTACCAATAACAGTCTTCAAATGGTGCTTTTCGCACGATCTCATTCTCAAAAGAGAGTGGTGCACGGGAAGACAAATGCGGCGGCGTTGTTGTCCTACGCGTCAAAACCAGCGAGTGACAGCAGTGATAGCAGTCACACGGGGCTGCAGCAGCAGCAGTACCAACTTAGAGAGTTATCACTGAAGGCCCACGAAACAGAAGTGCCTACAAGCACCTTAATCCGGCCCTGGTGATATCACCTGGCCTACGCCATCAATTAACTCACACTGACCAGCGTGGTAAAGTATGGTCAAACAACCCCGCACTGAAGGATCACGGTATAAAAACAGCCCAACCTGTGAGTATGTTGACCGTGTGATGAAGTCAGCTTGTGTGAAGGAGATAGATTGATTGTTGCAT